CAAATCTAAACAAATATAAAGAACCTACTATACTTATCAGTACAGTAAATGTCCTGTTGAAGATATTGTCTCCTGGTTTACCACTTCCATATTTCGCTCTATCTGGTCGATTCAAATGAACATTTCGCACAGACGAATTCCACTCTCCAATTTTGAGCAATCCATCCGGGAATAACTCGAGTACGTCTATTTTGAAATCTCTTCGGAAACCTTCCACATCAAACTGCACAAGTCCCGTTATGCCTTGTGTAGATTTCTGAAATCAAGCAATAAAAATATTCGTCACTATTATTATTGCACCCAAAACATGTTTATCCTAAAATATACCACTAGAATTGAATATTCAAATGAACTCACCGATTTCATCAAGTTTATTATGGTATAACCGTCATTCCAACTGTTTGTAGATTTACAGCTTAGTGGCAGTGCTTTCAAAATCTTCTTCTGGTCAATAGTAAGGTCATAAAGTGTCTCGTAGAATAGGGTCACCGCATCGATTATCAGGGCCGTTTCCACTCTCACCTTATGGCCATCACCGTGAGGCTGCACTATCAAAGCTATTTGCTTGACATCAGTCTGTTCTGGGTCAACCATTCTGATCTAAAAATATTATAAGACTCATCGAATTCACGAGAGCAATATAGAGGAAACCAAAGCTATTTGCTTGACATCAGTCTGTTCTGGGTCAACCATTCTGATCTAAAAATATTATAAGACTCATCGAATTCACGAGAGCAATATAGAGGAAACCAAAGCTATTTGCTTGACATCAGTCTGTTCTGGGTCAACCATTCTGATCTAAAAATATTATAAGACTCATCGAATTCACGAGAGCAATATAGGGGAAACCAAAGCTATTTGCTTGACATCAGTCTGTTCTGGGTCAACCATTCTGATCTAACAATATTATAACACTCATCGAATTCACGAGAGCAATATAGAGGAAACCTGATTAATTACGAAAACCAGTAACAGAGAACACCTAGTACAAGTTGAAAATATTTGAGGTAACATCCTTGCTTACATTTCAAATTTTCTTGAAACCAAAAGAAGAGGAATCCACGAAATTAACGCTCCACAAATATCTGAAATTGGTGCTACTTTGTTCCTTTATATCGATGATC